CAACTCCAAGGCCAAGAACGTCATCGCCCTCTCGCGCCAGCTCCTCGCCGAGCACGGCGGCGAAGTGCCGCAGAGCCGCGAGGCCCTGGTCAAGCTGCCCGGCGTCGGGCGCAAGACCGCCAACGTGGTGCTCAACATCGCCTTCGGGCAGGAGACCATCGCCGTCGACACCCACATCTTCCGGGTGGCCAACCGCACCGGCCTGGCGCCCGGCAAGACGGTCGACGAGGTCGAGCGCAAGCTGGAGAAGGCGGTACCCAAGCACCGCCGGCGGCACGCCCACCACTGGCTGATCCTGCACGGCCGCTACGTCTGCAAGGCGCGCAAGCCCGACTGCCCGGCCTGTATCGTGCGCGACCTCTGCGCCTACAAGGCGAAGACCACCGCCGAGGGGCCGCCGCCCCAGCCCCGCGCGACCCGGCGGGCGAAGACGGCGGGCGCCACCGGCTGAGCGGCCGGAATTCACTTGCATAAATACAAATAAAAGCCGCGGAACCGAAGCAACGCCCTCGGCCGATTCGGGGAATAGTTGCATTGATCTGGCGCAAGGCCGGCTGGCCGGACCGGCGGGACACTCCGCCCTGCTGACCTGGACAGGAGGGGTGAGATGCTACGGACCACCTGGATCGCGGCCGCCGCCGCGCTGACGGCGCTTGCCGGGCCGACCGCCGCGCTCGCGCAGGACGCCGCGAGCCTGCGCGAGGACGCGCTCGCCTACTTCGAGCCGCTGCCCACGAACCCGCCGGCGCTGGACGGCAACGTGGCGACCAAGGCGCGGGTCGACCTCGGCGCCATGCTGTTCTTCGACCCGCGGCTGTCGCGCTCGGGCATCTTCTCCTGCAACTCCTGCCACAACATCGGCATGGCCGGCGTCGACGGGCTGGAGACCTCGATCGGCCACGGCTGGCAGAAGGGGCCGCGCAACGCGCCGACGGTCTACAACGCGGTGTTCAACATCGCCCAGTTCTGGGACGGCCGCGCGGCCGACCTGGCCGAGCAGGCCAAGGGCCCGGTCCAGGCCGGCGTGGAGATGAACAACACGCCGCAGCGCGTCGAGCAGACCCTGCGGTCCATGCAGGGCTACATCGCCGCCTTCGACGCCGCCTTCCCCGGCGCCGACGAGCCGATCACCTTCGACAACATGGCGCGGGCGATTGAGGCCTTCGAGGCCACCCTAATCACCCCGAACGCGCGCTTCGACCAGTTCCTGCAGGGCGACGACGGCGCGCTGAACGAACAGGAGATGCGCGGCCTGGCGGCCTTCATCGACACCGGCTGCGCCGCCTGCCACGCCGGCGTCAACGTGGGCGGCGAGGCCTACTACCCCTTCGGCGTGGTCGAGAAGCCGGGCGCCGCGGTGCTGCCGGCCGGCGACCGCGGGCGCTTCGCGGTGACCGAGACGGCCGCCGACGACTACGTTTTCCGCGCCGGCCCGCTGCGCAACATCGCGCTGACCGCGCCCTACTTCCACTCCGGCGCGGTCTGGGACCTGGAGGAGGCGGTGGCGATCATGGGCGTCTCGCAGCTCGGCACGGAGCTGAGCGAGGCGCAGATCGCCGACATCACCGCCTTCCTGCACACGCTGAACGGCGAGATGCCGGAGATCACCTACCCGGTCCTGCCGGCCAGCGGGCCCGACACGCCGCAGCCGGAGACCGACTAGGGCGGTTTCCGATCGAGTGGA